GTAATACCAATGTTCACTTTGTCTGGTTTTGTTGCAGCATGCCCCAATTATTTTTATATAGGAGTAATTTTATACATCACTTAATATGAAGGAGAAAACAAACAAACAAATGAGAGATTTTAATAATCACTGATCCTGAAATTTTTGGTAATACCAATGTTCACTTTGTCTGGTTTTGTTGCAGTATGCCCCATATTAGAAAATTTATAAAAATAAGTAAGTTAAAATTAATTTAGTTTGTTCATTAACAAATAAAAATAAAATCTATTGGTTCCATTAATTACAGTGATCCATTGCTGTTTCCAGTGGTTCCAATTTTTCCAGCAGTTCCAGTGGTGTTCCAGAAAAAAGTCACTGGAACACTGGAATTGGAACTGGAAATTTTATTCCAGTGTTCCAGTTCCAATACTTATTCCCTTCATATACAAATAATGGGATATTTTGGTATAACCCCTAAAAATCTGTTTTTCGGGGTCCTCCTGCAAATCTGAAATTGCGTAAGAAAATTTTCTGATTTTTTAGATTTTTATAAATTTTTATAATAAAATGTCTGCTTCTTCCATTATTATTACTACTACTGCTGACACCGCTAAAAATGAATTGAAACAAGCCGAAGAGCTTTCAAAATTCTCACCAGAAAAAGCAGAAGAAATTTATAAAAATATTTTAAGTCGAACTACTAGTAGTAAGTTTTTTCTTAATAAAGGTTTTTTTCCATGTAAAATAATAAATAATAAAAATCACGTTATATAATTCAAATATCTTATCCAGTATGATGTTATATATATAGATGATAATGACAATTTGGTAAGGGACCAAGAACAAGCTCTTGTTAAACTTGGTGAACTTTATCGTGATCATCGGTAATAACATTACAGTAGAATGAATTGTATATATACATACGTATAGTACTATATATTTATTTTTATTTTATTAAAAAATTTCAAATTGATGTTTTTACCTTTTTTTTAGAAAACCAAGTGAATTATCAACTTTGATTCGTTCATCTCGTGCATTTATGTCGTCTATTGCTAGAGCAAAAACTGCAAAAATTGGTAATTCATTTTTTGTTAATTTATTTCCTCTTAGAGAGAAAATTTCCACTAATAATTAATTATTTTATTTATGTCATTATTTGACGTAGTTAAATCATTGATTGATCTATTTACCGAGATTCCGGACACTTTACCACTCCAAATTGAAATTTGCAAAGAAACGATTGAATGGAGTGTTAAAGAGAAACGGATTTTTTTAAAACAATCTTTAGAAACTCGATTGGTTTCTTTGTATGTATCAAAATTATTGTCACCGTTAGTTATTAAGTTTAAGTTTAAAATACATTTTCTAATTAAATTTATTAAAAAAATTTTTTAAAGGTATCTTGATAATAAAATGTATCATGATGCATTAAATCTTATCAATCCATTTTTAAAAGAATTAAAACGTCTTGATGATAAAATGGTATTGATTGAAGTACAATTATTAGAGAGTAGAGTATGTCATGCATTAAGAAATATAGCTAAATCCAGGGTAAATGTTAAAAAAAAGATACTTTGTTTATTAAATTTTTTGTTATTGCTATATTAATATGATTGATCAATAATTAAAAAAGGCTGCGTTAACATCTGCTAGAACATCAGCAAATGCAATATATTGTCCACCACTTCTTCAAGCTGCCCTTGATATGCAATCAGGAATTTTACATGCAGAGGATAAGGATTACAAAACAGCGTAAATAATAGTTTGAATTTATTTATTCTTGTATAGATATATATGTTTATTTTTATAATTTTTATTAGGTATTCATATTTCTATGAAACTCTTGAAGGATATTCATCACAAGATGACCCAAAAGCTATTTCGGCTTTAAAATATATGTTACTATGTAAAATTATGTTGAATTTGGTAATTAATAATAATTTTATTATTGTTATCACATATAAAAAAGAAGATATTGATAATAATTAATTATCTATCCATGATATAGTCTGAAGATGTTCATGCAATTATTAATGGAAAATTAGCTTTAAGATATGCTGGTCGTGAAGTTGATTCAATGAAGGCAATAGCAACAGCTCATCAAAATCGTTCACTTATTGAGTTTGAGACTGCATTGACAACTTACAGAGATGGTTTTAAAAATTATTATTCTAATATTATATTGGTTATTGTTGTTATTATTATTATTCTATTAACCAAATTTCTTATATTATTTTAGAATTGGGCAATGATCCAATAATTAGATCGCATCTTGCAGCACTTTATGACACTTTACTTGAACAAAATTTAGTTCGTATAATAGAACCATTTTCAAGAGTTGAGATTTCACATGTAGCCAAGATGGTTAAATTACCAACTGATCAAGTAGAAATTAAATTATCACAAATGATATTGGATAAAGTTTTTCATGGTATTTTAGATCAAGGTGCAGGATGTTTGATTGTTTTTGACGAACCACCTCAAGATGTATGTTAATTTATTATTTATTTATTTATTTATTTATTTATATATTAAAATTTTAATTCTAATGATTTTGATTTTTGTGTATATTAATTAAAAAAATATAAAGAAAACTTATGAAGCAGCATTAGAAACATTAAAACAAATGGGAAATGTTGTAGAATCTTTATATGAAAAGGTAATAATAATAATAATAATAATAATAATAATAATAATAATAATAATCAAATAATAAAATTATTATTAATATTAATGTAATTTTTCTTTTATAGGCAGCAAAATTATCTTAGATTTATCTTTTTTAAAAAATTTCTTTCAATAAATACACTATTATTGATCTATTTATTTATTTATGATTATTACTATTTATTTAATTGAGTGGCTAATTGATTTAGGAAACGTTGTTTCTAAACGTTTTTTAACATGATTATAAAACGATTCGAAAATATTTCTATCTTGTCCATTAACCCAAGAAAACATAATCTTTACACCTCCACCACTACTATTGATACTATAATCACCATCATCCGAATTATCCAAATTAAAATTCTCAATACTACAAATATATTTAAACAAGAATCCCTGTTGTTGTTGATTTTCAATAGAGTTAGCAATTTCTCCTCCTTCTGTCTCCTCCATTTGACAATTTATTATTGTAGATTTTTTCCTTCTTCTAGCTGAACGTGACCAAGTATTTGAAAAGACTAAACCATTATAATAATAAGATTTATCATTGTAATGATCATTAAAATTCCATTGTCCATTGATTTCCAATTCATCAAACAATTTCTTTAGAAATTCTTTAATACTTGTTGTTGATGATTTTGATGATAGAATTACACAAAATTCTGATTTAGGTGGAGCAACCTTTTTTAATTTTCTTGAAAAAGGTTGGGATATATTCTGTCATTTTATTTTATTTTTATTGAGTTATATTTATATAAAAATAAAAAAATATAAATATATAAATATGGATTACCATACCATAGTTGGACGATGACTTCCAAACGACCAACCAATTCCCCATCTACGTGTTTGACCTTGACAAAATTCAGTTATAACGTAGTTGTCTATCTTTAGATAAGGAAGATCGATTAATTGTGTATAGGAAATTAATATAAATATATAAATACAAATCAATCGATCAATCAATCAATCATTATTATCATTGCTAACTTGATTTTTCTTTAACTCTTGTACAATTTTATTAACAGTTTCAAGTCTTCCAATCATAGAAGTATACCAACTTGAAATAAAAATAAAAATTCTTATCATTAATAATAATAAGATTATAAACATAAAAATGGCATCGACAAAAAATAATAAAAACTTACTAAATTTTTGTTTGAAGTATTAAACTCTCTTCCATTATATCTTTAATAAATTGAAATTCACCACCGGGTGTAAATTTTTCTTTTGGTGATCCAATACAAACCTATTGATTAATTAATTAATATTTTAACTATAACTGTACTATTATTAAAAATATCATTATCATGATGATGGTTATTATTACAGCAAATGGAGGTAATTGCTTAAATTCAGCTCCTTTTTCATATTGATCTTTACTTTCATAAAATGGTGGATTACACATACAAAATGAAAAACTATATAAATTAAATTAATTATTTAAATATATCATCTAAATATATCAAATTAAATAAACATAATAAATCCTTTGAAGATACTTGCTTGATGTTATTATTATCATTAGATAATAAATTTAAAATTTTTTTATTATCAGTTTTATTATGAACAATAGTAATTCTATCAAGTAAATTATTTCTTTTAACATTATCTTCTGCATATTTTATAGCTCTTTCATCAATATCTATATTATTTAATTATTGTTAATATATTATAAATTGGGAAAGAGAGAGAGAATAAAATTTGCTGTAGTAGTCCTAACTACTTACTAATAATCAAATTTATTTACCAGTAGCAATGAATTTCCAATTCTTATTTAATGTACAACCTAATAATGGATATATACAAGAAGCACCAGTGCCACTAAAAAATTCATAAAAAAATTTTTTTTATAATAATAATGTATATATTTTTCTTTTGAAATACATGAAATACATACATGTCTATTCCATATACAATATCATTTTTTGCTTCAATTGAACTTATCAAGTCTTCTATCCAATGAATATAATTAAGTCTATATTAATTGAATAAATTTATAATTTTAAATATGATAGTAATGATGATAATTTTTCATTCTGTTTTAAATTACCTGTTAGGTATCTTTAAAAAAAAATTTTTTATAAATTAATTAGTTAATCAATAAATTAAATCAATCAGTCAATTAGAAAATGCTATATAATAATTACTGGTGGACATAAAGTATCCAAAGGGATGTCTAATTTAAGGTTAAAGTCATTGTGTAACAGACAATATGTTAGTTGCCTTACAGCTTCAGGATTTTTGAAATCAATATATGGTTTGCCTTTTCCAGTATAATGAACACTAAACAAATAAACAAAAATATACTTTAACCAAAAAAACCCCCTAAAATTTTTTGCATTTTAAAAGTCAAACAAAATAACATTTTTTCAACTTTACTATGGGTAAAATGAAGGATCTTTGAAAGCAAGAATTGAAAAGTTTGGTGTATTATCTTTATAAAAGTTTCGAGGATGCATTAGTTTTTTTAGTTTTTGAATGATGGATAGAGATAGATCATCAACACTATTTATAGCCAAATTTACTTTTCTAATACACCCTAATCTCCTAGGGGACCTTTTTTTAAAACCATCTAAAAAAAGCATCGAAAGGAATATATTCATAAGGACAAATAAACTTTATCCAAAGGTATGGAATTCAATTTGTTTTGATGTTTATTTTTTTTTTTTTTCTAAAGAAATATTTTCAATTATGAAATTATCAAAAGTTTATATTTTTAATTTTTTTTTTTAAAAAAAAAACGAGAATCTTTGTTGTTGTTCTCTCTAATTATTAAACCTTATATCCAACCAGACTACGCCTTCCAATTACCTCACCAATTGCAAAAATTCCAAAAACTTCCAGAGTTCTTATACCAACTTTAACAAGATCTGTAGGACTGAGATTAGTAAAATCTTTTGGTCGAGTTGATTTTAAATTATTCCATGTTTCAGAGATTTGTGCACCAGTAGGTGGTTGAAGTCCTTCTCGAATATAAACTTCTTTGGCAAGTTCTTTTGTTACTAATGCATTGTATATTATTGATTTTCCAATACCTAAAAATAATTATTTATGGCAAAAAAAAAATCAATAGTTATCTGGAAAAAAAAACAAATGATCTATTCTTATTTTTGAAATAAAGAATATAAATATATATATACATATAAAATACCTTTAATTTTTGATAAACTACTTTTTGCTACTTCACCAGTTTTATTGTAAACCTGTGCGGTAGTAGAGAAGTAATGATGAGTTTGTGAAAAGCCTTGTGGACATGATAATATTGTTGAACCAGTTGGTTTTTTCAAGGCATTATTTCCAACTCTTTTAAATAAATTGAAGGCCATAATAATAATAATAATAACAATAATAGTAATAGTAATAATAATATCTATTTTTATTTTTATTTTTGAAAGAAAAATTATAATTTTTATAGATTTTTACAAAAAAAAATTTTTTTTTGGTCACTTGATGAATTTGATCGGCATATAATGAAATTCGCGTGCGTGGAAGATTATTAAATTATCTTATTATTATTTTTACATAATTTTTTTTGTTTATTTACAAAAATCATGATTTTATATATAACTTCTAAAATTTGGATCATTTTCGTTTCCTTGATAATAGTACACGATACCGCTATTATTATCAATTTTACGATGATATTTTGAAGGTTGACCAATAACATCACTGGTTGGCTGATAATTTACAATTTGGTTCTCGTTGTAATTTCTCATCTGATAATTCACATTTGCTGTCTGATAATTATTTTCATCATATTGCTGATTGACAACATTTCTCGTTTGGTCATTATTATTCGTCAACGGTTGCTCATTGTAATTATTTGCAATTTGTCGTCGTTGTTGTTGTTGTTGTTGATTACTAATATTTTTTTGCTTATGTTTATGATTATTTACTTCGCTACCACTACTACTACTACCATTATCACTATAATTACCATAATTTGCAACAATGTCATAAACACTGTTTCCTTGATAATCTGTTATAACTTGAATATCATCATTATTTTGATTCATTGTTGGTTCACGAACAATATTTATATGATTAGTCTCCCTAGTATTATTCTCATTTGATTTTTTTCTTTTATTATTTCTATAAGACAATATTATATGTATTATGATAATTACTAAAGTAATAAATACTATAGATATCGCTATAATAGCAAGTGGAAATAATGTTGCCGCTTTAAGGGCGTTATCACTACTACTACTACTATCATTATTATTGTTGGTGGGTGATAGAGAAGTTTCTGTTGGTGATGATGGTGTTGCAAGCGAGTCTTGAGATTTTGCTGGTTTTTTTTTTAGAGGGAGAAAAATTTATGATTTTTAAAAATTTTTTTAAATTTATGGTAAAAATATTGTTATATTATTTATTACCTACCCGGATTTATTATTAGAGATATTAGAAAAGACCAAAGATTTATTATTAATCCACTTTTTTTTGGTATCGTCAAATAATAAATAACACGATTATTATTATAATCCATTTTTATAATAATTAATCTTGAAATTTTTTATTAAAATTGTTTTCGGGTTATTTTTTTGTATTTATATACTAGTTGACCGCAAAACTAGTACAAAATTGGGAAACTATCTGCAGAATTCTATTAACGTATAACGTAACACGTCAACTGAATTACTATATTTACTATTAATATATTGTTATTATTTACATAATAATAAGGAAATTCTTCAGGTATTGTGTATTAACCAATATTTAAATGAAAAAATCATCTTTACCTTATTTTTTATTCTTTAAAGATAACAACCCAACCTACTATCTATCTGTCCGTTCGTCTCTCTTTAATATTAATATTTTTTGTCAGATATTGTATATAATAGTAAATAGTTATTTAGAAGACAATCTTTATTCATTCATCTGATCTTGTTTTTTTTTTGTTGACTATAAATAAACGGTTTAGAGTTAATATTTATTGTAACATCTATATATGAATAATTTTTAAATTTCACCAATTATTTTATTTTATAAACAACTCTCATATTAATATCTGGTATATAAAATTACATCGATCAATTTTCTATTATTGGTTTATATTTTCTTGGCATTTTCTTTTTGAACACTATGAACTGATGAAGGCTGCCATTTCATTGAAAAATTGGTCAGAAAGGAAATCGCTCACTGCATATAAAAAATTCACTGACCGATGGGAGTTATCCCCACATAAAATTTTTTTATTAACATTAACGTTTAACTCGTGATCCGCGATAGAGTATACACATGTTGACCAACTTCCAAATGATGAATATTACCTTTTAAATTTGTGGTTAATGTAAACTTTTCAAAAAAAAAATTTTTTTTAAATAACAATCTCATGAAGTAGAATTGCCTCTGCCTTTTCTGAAACTACTACAATTCATGGTAGGTCCGTCTATGAATGAATGAAAAGAGCGAAGAATTTTTTTATATAATAATGATCGATATAAAAAGGCAATCGCGTGATTGATTTTCTAACCAAATTAATCATCGAGAGAAATCATTAGTTCCTTATTAAAACAAATTTTTTTTTATTTGACAATTTTTTTAGATTTATTTTCTTCTTCAATATGTAGTCCATTCTCTCTATAACTCTATAATAATAATGAGGTAACGGATCGAGAATTTAAGCCCAATTTATATGTCCCATATATAAATTATTACTGTCTATAATGGATTCTCTCTATAATGACATTTCAAATGGTAGCCACAAAACAATAAATTATTCGAATAAATTTATAATTATAACACCATATACCAGGTTTCATTGTATTATTATTTTTTTATAATTACAGCACCCGCATGCCATATATTTCATAAACAATATATTCATTTTTTATTGAATTATTTTTTTTTTTTTTTTTTGTAATTTGTGAATTCCCACTATATAGTTCACTTTCTTCTCTTTCTATAACGGATCTTGCTCTATAACAAACTGATAATTTTAAACCTAATTATATGTCCCATTTGTAAATTATTAATATAATAATAATAACAGGTTCTCTATGACTAAGCCAAACGGTCCGTTTGTTATTATTATTATATAACTATTATATGTTGCACAAGATAAAATATTTTTTATTCGAATCCATGGTTCCTCTATAGTAAACTTTAAATGAAAAAAAATTTATAATAATATATAATAATAATGCGCATTCACGCAGATCATCATTTAACATGATGGATTTGTAGTTCTATCAAAAATCATCATTATATATTGTGTTTAATTCTTTATTAGTTAGTTTTTTGTTTTTTAGTCGAACAACTTCAATTATTATCTTAATAGTAAATAGAGGTTGGAATAGTCGACTACTAACTAATACTACTGACACTGATACTAATACTAATGCTAATGCTAATCACCATGCTGATGTTATTATTATTATTGTCTGATAAATTACGATTTTTGTGTTACAAAAAAATTTATTCAAAATTTCTATGCGGAAGAGTGTCAATACCATCAATATAATGATGATGACAATGGTGTTATTGATGATAATTTTACATGTGGACTAATAAAACTTCCGGTACAAAGTTCAATAGTTCATTGTTTTCAAGTTTCAATGATTTAAGCTGTGGTTCCAGAAGACCTTTTAAAAAACGAATCATAACACATGGTTTTGTGTGGAAGTACAGTCAGACCTCCATAAATGCACCCCTTGGGGCGTGCATTTATGGTTTATGGAGGGTGTAGAGAAGCGATTTCATTGGTTACATGTGATATACAATATTTTAATACATTAATACAAAATAACTATCCATTGTAGTTTGTTTTGATGAATTTATTTTTTTACAACAAAAAAGATAGTTCGGGAAAAAAAGGGGGTTTTTAGAAATCAACTAATTTTGTTTTTTTCTAATCAAAATAATCTCTGTTTTTTTAATCTATATTAATATAGAACAAGTTGTTACACCTTTTTGGTTTGTGACACGCAATTTAAAATATTTCTAAATTAATTTAAATTTAATTTTTGTATGGTCAATATGCAATATGATATTTTAAGTCATGTGAGGGGGACGCGGTCACTGTAGATCACTACTGAATTGATATATAATATGGGGCATACTGCAACAAAACCAGACAAAGTGAACATTGGTATTACCAAGAATTTCAGGGATCAAATTTTAGTCATTTGTAATGTGATTATAATTATCAGTTTTATAATATCCATTTGTGATATATAGAATTATCCCTATATATAATTTTATGTTCACTTTGTAAGTTTTTTAAAATTGAAATTGAACCTGTGGTGACAAGCAAAGTGGGCAGAAAAGAATTAAATTTGAGTGGATCTGCAAATAAATAAATATCAGAAATATATATTCAATAATTGATATAAAAGAGAAAATAAAAATCCCCCACTGGTTCCATGGAAAATAATTATGTTAGATTTAAATTATTTATTATTACTAAAAATGGATAAGATAAATTATCTTGAGATCTGAGATTTATTGATCAACTATAACAGATAAACAAATAAATAAAAAATAATTATTGTTATTTCTAAAAAAACAATTGAAGAAAATTGTTGTTTTGTGTGATTATAAACAGAATTTTTTTCTTAATCAGTATACAAAAAAATCAGTTCATATGTAAATTACACATGCAAATTTCAATTTCTTAATATTAAATTTTTTTTCAAAAAATAATTGAATTTCCTTTATTTTTAATTAATAAATGATATAGAAAATCAGGAAACAAGAAATTTTACATGCATATTCTACAGAACCTAGGCTACAAGCTGATATTTTTTTGTATACTTTATTATGTGTGTTTTTGTGTAGTTGATACACTTGGGTTCTCTTAAACTTTGCTGTAGTGTACCATTTGATTTAACAAAATCTATTTGAATCTACCAAAATAAATAAACAAAGGATAAATTTATTATTTATCAAAAAAAGAAATAAAGAAACTTTAAAGTATATAAATATGATTGATTTTGGATGAGATTGATGTATCAAAAAAATTTGCAACATTAAAAATTATTAAATTTTATACATTTAATAATAATAATATAAAACAAAGCATAGCGGACATTTACATATTTGGTAATGATTTGCGTTAATCACATTTTGATTTTATCACGTAAAAAAGAATTTTGATTGGGCTGAATATCA